ATCTCCTGGACGTTGAAGGAGGAAAGTTGCTCAGGAGTCCACATGGTTGCGATGAATGAATGGGCCTTGAGACGGGGAGGGCAGTGCTTGTGCAAGAGAATTGGGCCCTGTGCGTACATCTGCTCAACTTTCAGAGTTTTTTTCCGGGGGGGAGGTAAAGCCCGTCTCCCCACCCGCCCAGCTGGCCTTTGGCTCCTGCTTTCCCAAACTCGGGCAGGATCCACCCTTCGTGCCTCGTGGCTGCAGGCGAGTGAACGCAAAAGGGCCACTCGGTAAATACAACTTTGTGCATTTTGTAGCGTTCTTCCTTCCTTTTTTTCCCTGTGAAATGCTAAAGGTTAAAAAGATCTTTCAAGCATTCTTCCTCACAAACAGTCATTTTAATTGCTTAATATTGTGGCATTTTAAATATTTATAGCCATATCACATGCTGGCGGTGGAAGAAAGAGGCAGCGGGCAACGCGAAACTTTTCCCCTGTCGAGGAAGTGCCCGTTGTACTTGCCTCGAGTGCCACCTCGTGGCCAGAAGCGCCCCCGGCTCGGGGGTTTCAGCAAAGGCGGGGGTCTTCCTCGCGTTCGGACCCAGGCAGCTGTTTTGGAAACGAGCAGGACTCTGCGGTTTTGGAGCCATGGCATTGTGGAGTCCTTGGGGTCCTCTGAGCCGGGTCAACTTCCCTTCCCTTCCCTTCCCTTCCCTTCCCTTCCCTTCCCTTCCCTTCCCTTCCCTTCCCTTCCCGCAGTACAGTGGACCAACCCAGACAGAAGTTTGGCTAATTCAGACGAAGGGATAAGATATCATCCTGGCTTATCCAGAAACCCTGATCCCTCCCCACCTGCTGTATTTAAGTTTCAGCTGTCTTTATACACCACAAGAATACGTTTTCTCCCGGGATGCAGGGTTTTGCTGAGTTCTTTCTGTTGCCGTCCCTGGAAACGCTCTCCAGCAAGGGTTGACGAAGCCTCTGGAGACTCGCTGTCCAGCGTTGCCAACGGTCTTTTCCCGTTTGGGGATAGGTGCGATCTCGCTGCCCCGGTCCATAATCCTGTAACTGGCAGGCTTGACTACTGCAAGAGGTTGCAGACGTTCAGGGGCTTGGCGGTTGTTTAAAAGCGCAACCGTGTTCAAGCTTTTATCTTACGGGGCTCATTTGACTTTAAAATGACGGTTATAATTCTTTGATCCTAGCAATTTTATACCTCTCTCTCCACAGGATCCCACTTTGGCTGTTAAGTCAGTGAGCTTTAGCATCTGTGCCATTTTTATGGCACGTGTTGGATGTGTTCAGCTCCAAAAATGGCTTCTGTCGGGGTGGCTCCAGTGCTGTGCGATTCTTCCCAACAGGCCTAGAACATGCAGCCTGCCTCGGCCTTCTCATAATGGCAACCAGATTCATTTTCCTTTGCTTTTAGTTTCATTTCTGCAACTATTACAGAGGGCAGACGTTGCCAAAAAATCCTAATTCCTTCTCCTTCTCCTCCTTCTTTCTTTTCCTCCTCCTCCTCCTCCTCCTTCCTCTTCTCCTTCTCTTCTTCCTCTCCCTCTCCTTTTTTTTTTTTATCATCCCCACTAATGGCAGCATTCCTTCTTATTATTCCTTAGGGTTATTCTTCCTATTTCATTTTAAGAAGGTAGAATTAAGGCAGCGTGCTGTTAATGTGTATACGGCTGATTCTGTGACTGTTTTAAGTTCTGGGCTTTCTTTCACTTCAGTTAAAATCTGCTCCCGTTGAAAGAAGGGGGCATCTCGGAGTGGGACAAGGCAGCTGCCCCTTTCTGCTTCTGTACGCATTATGCGCTCTCCCTCCTTTATGACCTTAATTGCTGATTTGCTAGAACCCCATAAGGTTACTGGGTGTTTATATTTAGCTCCCCCACAGCATCGCTTCAAGTGGGTGAATTATCATTCTCCAGGTGCAGTGCCTCTTGTCCGAATCCTTTAGAATCTGCTCAGCGAAAGATTAACCGCGCACAAATAGCCAAGTGGGGGAACAATTCAGCCTTGCTCTCTCCAAGTTGGGCGGGTGCTCCTTTTCAGACTCCTGCGACTTGCCTCTGCCCAGTGTGGGTCATGAGCAACAGAGAAAAAAGTGGGCATGAAAAAGTAATTTATGCACTGGCTTGTAAGGGGGCGGAAGGGGCGAGGGTTATGGAAGTCTATTTGATGTCTTGGTTTGACCTCCTGTGGATGAGGGAACTCAGCCGCCCTCCATTTTGTACAGTAACGTGTTTCAAATGTTCTGCTTTCTGACCATGGTTAAGGTTGCTTTCGTTGGTAGCCCCAAATCTCTGCTCATCTATCCCTGCTTGTGCTTTCTTGCCCTCCTCAATAGACATGCACCCCTGTCCTCCCCTCTGACTTTTCTGCCTTGGAAGCCTACCTAGGGAGCCCCTGATGGCAGATGAGGGGCGTGTACAGCGCAGAATCCAGACTGAGCATCTCTGAGAGACGGCCATCCAGCCTCTGCCCAAAGGTCTCTGGGTCATTGGTTAAGTGCGCTTCCCACACTTAGGAACAGAAGAGGTCTTAGTCTTCTTCTGTCTAATCACCTTTCATGTCTTTGCTATCGTATCTCACCACGATCTTCTCTCCCTCAAGGCTAGGTTTGCCCAACTCTTCCAACAGATCATGGCTTCTTTAAAGTGGGGCACCCAGAACTGGACATAACATTGGAGATGAGGAGAAATCTCTCTCTGGGCATTGCTAGCCATCCTGTCTCAGCTGATGTCATAAGACCCACTTCTGAGCCCAGAATGCTTCCTATTCTGTTTCTAGGCGGACCTTTAAATTTTTTGCTTGGGAATTGGGCACCCAGACCTGTGGGTTGCCAACAGAAGGAGGACGCCATGTCTTTACTGATGCTAACCAAGCCTTTCTATCTCTCCTGCCCCTAAGAATTGGCATTCTCCTGTGTTCTTCAAAACCAGTGAGGTCTATGACTTGATGAAGCAATGAACAAACTTGCCTTGCTTTAGAGCTCATTTTCATGTTAAACCAAGCAAGATATGATATTCCTGCTCAATCATAGTTTATATTTCTCAGCTTTTGAAATTTAGTTGAATCCTGAAGGTTGTTTATCTGCAATGCAGTAGATGGCTTTCTGTGACCTCAGACAAGGGACGCAGGTCTGCTTAGCATCCCTTATTTCAAGTGATTTCCTCTAAGCCATTTAGCGAATTGATGGGAGAGGCAAAATTTAAACCAGTAAGTGGCTCTGGAGGTGGGAGGGAAGGCGAGATTTTATTCTTTTGAACATGTTCCTTCAGCTCTGGAGGGCTCTTGA